TTCACTCGGAATCGGTCGATTCAATAGGTATAAAAGTACAAAAGAGAAAAAGCGACTCTGTACATATATAACTAAACCAAACAGAGAGAACAAATAATTAATAAACGAAGTTGTTAAATGTTAAATTAAATACTTACATAATAATAGACAATTATAAATAAAAGTACAAGAGAGAAAAAACTGTACACATATAAATGAAATAAACAGAGAGAATAATTAAACAAATAAGTAAAATAGGGAAGTAAACAAACATGGGTTATAAATATCCGAAGTGTGAAATGTTAAATTAAATATTTATATAATAATAGATAATTAAATAGAACAGTACAAAAGAAAAAAAACTATTAAAATATATAACTAAAACAAACAGAGAGAAAAAAAATCTGGTGCGTGCAACACACAATACACGAAATTATTTCCTGGTCATGTTGGGCTATTATAAAATTTTTGAATTACATTTTTAATTGAGCTAAAGCTAAACGATTACAGCTAACAAATCTAAAATAAGAAAAAGTCCTATTTATTATATCACCCGTTGATTATGGATTGTACGACTATCAGTTATTATACTGTTATTTAACATTGCAAAGTTCACTAAAACGGAATAAAGAGATTTGCATTGTCTGTCATAGATAGGTCGAAAGTTGTCATACTGATTGTAAGTGGATTCTATTAAAATATCGCAAAGGGAAAACGTATTAAATTATTCACCAATTTAATTTTCTAAAAAGTTACATGACATTTTTTCGGAATAAACGTTGATACCTAATTATTACTTCCACTGTTACCTATACATGTAATATATAGTAAGGGTAAGTATGGCGATCGTGAAAATTTTTTAATCTAATTTTCCTACGGAAATACCAGTTTTGAGGTCTCCTTTTGAGTTCAAATAACCAAGTTCCGCAAAATAGTCTGCGTTTGTATGTGTGTGTGTGTGTGTGTGTGTTTTAACAGTCCAGCTCAAAAACAAAAAGTCATACAAAAGTGAAATTGCATATTTAAAGTTTTTAAATGATAAGGATGTTACAGCAACTTTTTCGTCAAAATCGGCTAACCGGAAGTGGCACTTTATATAATGCACTAAACACATTTTCACGATTATCTTGAAAACAGCTCAAACGATTTTGATTAAATTCATCATATACGAGTGAAATTAAGCAGTTTTAAATAAAATGTGGTTATTATTCTGATTGATGTTTCCCAACAAGCCTTGAATGGCTAATTTTCAATATCCGCTTCCTCTAATTAAAGTACATTTAATTTTTTTTATTTGAAACAATTGACCAATTCATATTAATTTTTAACATGAAATATGGTTAAATATAAAATATGAAAGAATTTGATAAATAACTAAAGGAGAAATAAGAGATTGTAACGGAGAATAGTTATAATTGAGGAACCAAAGGAATACGAACTCACCAAAGTTCACCCGAAAGATTAGAACACGCTTCCATATGTAATCATCATGAGACGTATAATACGGACTCAGACAATATTATATAAATATACATATGTGGTTTTCATAAATGCTATTGTTGGTATTATTTAATATTTAATTTTATAGATTACAGCGATATAAATATTAAAATTTGTATATGTGAGGGTACTTATAAAAATAAAAGTACAAACAATGAAATATTTATAAATATAGAGTCTATAATTTTATTTCCACTTCGCTTTGTCTGAAAATAGTTATTTCTGCTAAGAAGAGGGTGATAAGTGAAAGTTGTGCGATGCGCGCACCTCACCAGATTTTTTTAAATTTATAATGATCCAAACAAAATTAAAGAAATGAAAACCGACACCTGAAGAATTCATCCGTTCCTTCTGAATCACCATGTATATATTTTTGTATAATCAAAAATTAAAATATCCCATTTATAAGATCACCATCTGATAAAGAACGCATATATCAAACAATCAAACTGGCAATAAGTTCTATATTGTGGCATTTAACTAAAAATTTTAGAAATCATGTTAAATGGACGAATCAATTAATGTTTTTATATATACATATATATCACTGTGTAGTAGGACATTATTTTATTACTGAGCCTCTGCTATGATATTCCGAACACTTTATAACAACACATTGTGGCCTAATATAACTTTTTATATTTTTTCAAAAAATGCCAAGGTAAAGTCTATTCTCTGCCGCCAGCTAACGTAATGGCCATTTCATGGGTTTGCACCATCTGGTCCAAGACGTTCTAGACTGTTTCCGAATCTTGCACCTGCTGACCTTTCCAGATCTCTCACGGTCTGAAAGGTTCCCGCCCAAGGAGTGCTCCTTTATCGAGATCAAATAGAAAGTTGAGTTTTTTCTTTTATTTAATTATATTTATTCATTTGTATTTCTTGCACGAATGGTAGTTGTTTTTTTTTGTATAAAAAAAATTAATCATTGTTTGGAAAAAAGATATTATGCACCACGATAAAAACTCCATTTTATCAAATTAATTATACTCATCTAAAACTTCTTAAATTCATTTAATTAATCTTAACCTACGGCATTGTTATTTTCGAAAATTAGCACTAATGGGAAGTTTTCAATCTGAGGATCAGTCTACTGTCCTATAAACTTTGTCAATCTAATGAAGTACTAAACACGAACACTCATTCGCTTTCTACTTAAGTCGTAAGAGAGTTTGATCACAAAATCGAAAAAGAAAATTGTTACAAAAATAATGGGCTATGTGGAATGACATTAGTGTTCCCCAAATGCGAGACCGATACGAGTCTTGGTCTTGCAAACTCTGTCTTGGTCATGCGCAAGACTCTCGCAACGGTCTTGTAGTTACTTATTAACTTATTAAAAAGAGATATTACTGTAATTTTTTAGATAGGAGAAACCTAACTAAGCCTAAATGAAGAATTAGAGGAATTAAATGCAAAATTATATTGGTTATACCAATTATTTACATATAGTAACTAAGATTGTCAAGTATTAGTAACTATTTTGTCTTAAGTTTTATTTCAAAAATCGATGTTTTTTTCCAGTCCTGGTCTTGGTCTTGTAACAGTTATGCAGCCTTAGTCTTGGTCTTGCATAATGCAATCGGATATTTTTGAGTTTTTAATATCTGATTAATAATTAATTGTATTTTTTAAATTATTAATTAATTAATTTAGTCCAAAAACCCACAATTTCTGAGAATTTCTTAACATAAAAAAGTTGTTGATTATGATAAAATGAAGCCACTCCCTAAAATGAAGTTGTATTCGGATGTTAATAATTTGATGGAAGGGGCCTGTATAGTGCACCAATACCTCAAAAAGTAGCAATAATACTTCAATAATCTACTTTTATAATTCCTGAAAGTTACATCGAATTAACTGTAACAGGTGTTTTGCCATCCCAGTGCATTCGACTACTGAATAACACACAGTTTACAAACTCATACAACTAGCCATTACCATATTGCCAGAGCTACATTTCGCAGCCATAATTAACTTAACAATTACATTAGTTTTACTTGTTGAATATTATTGTATGAAATGGATACTAAACACTTTATACAATGTTCTCCAACTTTAGGCCAAATTGAAAGAGATGTTTTTGAAATATGGTTTCAATTAATGTGTTTATTCATCTGAAAATGGAAGTAGTTGATGGGATCTGAAGAAATTGATATGAATCATGTAAATACCAACCAAACCATTTAACTCCATTATTAACTTCTTTAAGATTTTCCTAAACGTAAAACATTAATTTTTCACATTTAAAATATTTAAATCTTTTAAGTTTTCAACAAGCATAAAAATATTCTTTTAATTATTCTTGTATTCTAGAAAAGAATTATAATAAAACATTACAAGCAATTCTGATATTGGGAAAACATTTCCGAAACATTAACGCGTAAGGTTATGTGGTAAATATACTAATTGGATGTCAGAATGGAGGTTTCTTTGTCAAACTCATAATTAAAATATTAAACATGAAAGTTTTCAATGATACTTACAAAATACCGAAAAATTAACCTCTAGGAAAATTATTTTTCATGGTAGAAAATTTGTTTTCGAACAATTAATAGTTTGTGATTATTCATTTTTTATTTTTACTAATAATGAGATATAATGAATTATATAAAATAAACAAACTTCGTGACTCATCTAAAACTTCATGACTGGTTTTATCTCATCTTAATATAGAATTTTTTTATTTACCAAAGTTTGGAAATGGAATTGCGTTTGTTTAAATGTTTTATAATATTTTGTATTGAATATACTGAGTCTTTTAATACTAGTTCTCTACAACGGGGTATTTTGTCTTTTACTGAAAATTTCAGTAAATAAAAATGTTCTAGTTTATGAATGAAATAATATAAATGAATAAAATAAAATGAAGCCATTCATGACATTTTAGACGGATGTTAATAATTTAATTAAAAGTGTTCTGTACCGCGGACAAATAGTTTCATGGCCGATCCGTTTGGGACCAATTTGACAATGTCTTTATCGATGGATGTCTATAGATAGGTGGTTTTGGAAAATCAAACGATAATTCCTTATCAAAGTATATGCGGGAGGATCGTAGCGGTCGGTGGGAGTTGTCTAAGATAGGCTGACGAGTCTCAATAGCCCAGGAGAGAGGTAACTTCACACCGCATCTTTCTCCGATGGATGGTCACTCATCCAAGAACCTACCACGCTCGAAGTTGCTCAACTTTCATTACATACTGCAAGCGCCTTAATCCCTGCTACACACATTTCATATTTAGGTAAGTAAATATTAAAACATAATTTTGCTATCGAGCAATTATTAAAACATTGAATTATTATTGAATACAAAAATGGATCAAAATCGGAAGATTCTGCACCTGAGCATCAACGAAACAGTGCAAGAAAGGAAAAACAACATACCTAGAAAATGTGTTAGATGAAGCAGAATAAAGAGAAAGTGTACATTTGTTGGATGAAGAAAGTTTTATTAAATAATAGGATTACAAATATTTCTATGACTACTTTAGTTAGTTTAAATAAAATAATAAACTTACGTCTCCTCTAAATTTGATAATCTTTTAGGATCGTTTCTGTTGCCGTCAGTAAGGGACACCCTGAAACATAAATATTTTTAATTAATAATAAATCAAATTAATTTGTTAAATTCAATGTATATTTGATTTAATTCTCAGACTAGGGCTATAAAACTCATACCAGACTGAAATGACAAGAAACCGCTCGACATTTCCGACTATTTCAACACTTACTAGACAAACGCTCTAAACTTCCAATTAATTACAAAAGACTTATATACATGACTAAACAAGGCCTATTTGGACTTACGGAGTTGAGCTATGGGGCTCCACTAAACCATCGAATTCCTCTCGTATCCAATCCTTACAATCCAAAATCCTTCGTCAAATCCTCAATGCTCCTTTCTTTGTTACAAATAAAACCATCCATACTGACCTTAATGTTTCTTTTGTTTCAGATCTGGCCCAATCCAGATATCTGTCCTTCCATAATAAACTTCAGAATCATCCCAACCCTCTCGTTTCTAACCTTGCTTCCTCTTCTATTCCTGATAACCCTCCGAGGCGTCTGAAAAGAAGATGTCCCCGTGATCTCCTTATGTAGACATGTCATTAGAGTGTTAGCATTGGGTAGTTACTCAGCAAGTGTTTTTAGGTCATCATATCCATATGTTTAAATTTACTAGATTTATTTAATACAGTTGTAAATATTATTAAGAAATAATGATAAAAAAAGGCTATAAAATACAGAATGTGTGTGTTCCCGCCCAAGTTTATAAGCATTAAAGAATTTTAGAACTAATTTGACAAAGCTTTTATTAATTATTATGAATGGAATTCCAAATTAACATATTTTTTCTTAATCGATAAAAATGACCGACGAAAATAATATTAATTTCTTCATCTTATTTCTTGCATCCACTGCTAGGAATGGGATATCGAAGGCACAATAAAGATATTGTAGGCGATATTATAATATAGACCTATAACTATCGATACGATCAACATATGGGATTTAAAATATCGATAATCGATATTTTCATCGATTTTATAAACTTTTTAAATTATGAATATAAATATAAATATTTATTCTCTAGGCGCATCAAAAAATATGTTATTTTCCTCTTTATATTAATAAATGAAAATATCAATTCTTCTACACCACTTAGTAAAATTAATTATCTAGTTCCTCTCCACCTTAGTCAAGCTTTAGCTTTTTTTTTATAAATTTCCATTCAACTAATTAGGCCTTCCATTCACCCATAGATTGGATTCAGAGAAATACGAATTTATTAGCATCCTGTTTACATGCTATGTTTAAAAACTTGCCCACATTATTATAGATTAGTTATAAATAGAAATCAAGCTGAACTACACATGCCAACAGGTAATTACCCCATACATACACACTACAAAACATTCCATAATAACTTACACGGACATACTAACAGTCTCATACAACATGTGGTGACAATACCCGATAACAGACATACCTGGCTCAGAATAAGTTGGATGAAGAATCTTTTCGCTTAAAAATCCATAATAAAATCAAGACAGGTAGAGATGCCTATCAATGCTAATACTCATATTCTTTTCAACTGCAAACTCACTGATTATCAATATATTTGACAGATTTGTGTTAAGAAATAAAAAAAATCTGGTGCGTCCACTCACACGACTTTCCTACCTATTTCAGAAAAGTTTTTATATCTTTACATATGTCCATCAAGAAACAAATAAAAAATTGAATTAGATTTATTTTCCTGAAAATTTATCAAAGAAAAGATTTGAGTACGATTTATTGAATAAACTAAAGCAATGTAAACCGGATTAAGGTAGATCAGTGTAAAAATTTCAATTCCCTCTAATATTGCTGATCAAAAACATTTTGCCATAGCCTAATTTTGTTAAACAATAATTTCTGTTAAAAGTAGAGGTAATAGTGAAACTTGTGTGATGCGGGCAAAAGATTTTCTTACTTTCACTTAGTCATCTTTTTTCACTCATTCGTCCCTTTTTGACACCAGGAGATGAACAGGTAATCTTACATTGGAAATTGAATAGCTGTAATTTCTTTAATAGTTGTCTGAAATGATCGATTTTTATATAGTTTTGTAGGGAATTTCATTACCTTACAATAACAGACTAAACTTTGTTTTTTCTCTGAAACGTATAGAACCGTCAAAAACCGCATATTGGAAATTAGATCCGATCGCAATACTTTCCTTACTTAGTATAGGTAGGAGAGTAAAGGGGATCCTACACGGTAATTCATGAATGAACGTCACAAGAAGTTCCAAGATTGCCCGCTATCGCTTTGATCATGAAGACCCTTACACGTTCAATCATTACTGATCATTACTTATCGTTGCTGATTTAGGTTAGATCGTTGCTGACCAATTTAGCGCAGTTGTAAACAAAGAAACAGCATAGATATGCTTATTTGGACATTGTCATTTATAATGTTGGGCATCAAGAGAAAAACGGAGATATAATAATTACTTCCTAGTACCTGAAAATCGTTTAGACCAAAGTTAGTCCAAAATATAAGTCAACTACATACAAAAATCTATGAAAAGTATTGCGAAAATAATCAATTTGTTAAGAAAAATGGAAAAATTAATGGCAAATAAACGCAACAGTTAAAGATTTTTTTTCTATAAGTAAATTGTGAAGTTTCCACTTTTTTTTCTCTCTTGACTATTTAAAGAAAAAATAGTTGAAAAAGGTTAATAATAATATAGACTAGGGATATAAACAACTATTTACTTTTATGAAATTATTTACTTAATAACGAGACCTAGGTAAACTAACCTATCTAGTAGTAAGGTTAGTCTCATAGAAAATCGTTTTGACAAAAGTTAGTAAAATATAAGTCTAGTGCTTACAAGAATTAAGGAAAGGTATTACGAAAATAATAAATTTGTTGAGGAACATGGGAAAAGAACCGATAAATATACACAACGTTAAATTTTTTTTTTCCTAAAGTAAATTGTGAAGTTTCCTCATTTTTTTTTTTTTGGTGCCCACTTGACTATTTAAAAGAAATAGTTGAAGATGGTTTAAAATTATAAACAGGGGATGTGAAAAATTATTTAACTATTTACATATAATGAAAATGAGAAATTTATAATGGTTGTGAGGCCTAGGTAACCTAACCTATCCAGCAGTATGGTTAGACTCCGCACTACTTTTACCTCAGTCCCCCCTCCACTTCTCGTGAATGAACCTTTGATTTCCGGATGTTCGGAAATCCGCAGCGCAACACCATCAGTACTTCATTCACTACCTTACACGACAATTCGGAACGTCATTAGTGCAATTCCGATTGACCGTGTTACATTAAAACATGTGTAGAAAATAAAATACACTGTATCATCGCTAATACTGATTCGATAATGCTGATTGTTTTTTGCTTTGTTGGTAATTTAATTACCTTTCAAAATTCTTATTATAAATTTTAACATATAATATATACTTAGCGAGTTAGTCCCAAAACATTTTTCTTTTTTCATAACTTTTTTCGGGAATTTAGTCCACGAACAAAAATCGAAAGGACAATTATTAGAAAATTATATGAAATTTTCATAAAAATCGTTAGATGCGTTTTTATGCTACAATCTATATAAAAACATGTTTTTCATTTATTGAGCAGCAGCTATTGGGCATGGTGCACCAAATTTGTGTTACAGGCATCAGTAGTCAAAACTCTACAAAATAAAAAAAGAAGCAATAAACTCTGTTGAAGAGAAAATCTTGGCACAGACAGACAGACGAATGGCTAAAAATGTGTTTTTCGGTATCAAGGGGCTCTGAAACGTATAGATCCGTCAAAAATCGTATATCGGAAATTTGACCAGATCGCAATACTTTCCTTACCTGGTATTGGTAGGAAAGTAAAAATAAGGTGAGCTCATCAATATCAGCAATAATATTACGTGACAATTTTATTGTCATCAATATTGAACAATTATTCTGTTGACGTATGATGCTGTCACCGACAAGAGAAAGGAAGGAAGGATAAGTGCAGAAAGGCTTCCTGTTTTCTAACGATTAGCAGGTTCCCACGTAGCCTCCGTTCGTGCTTGAGGATTAAGATTCGTAAGCCTTCGTGTCACAGCCTCAGACTGCTAATGACCGGATAGAAAGTTTTTTTAATTCAGGAAATTCAATAAACTTGGATTATTTTATGATAGATATTTTTAAAAATAAAAATATCTCTTCCGTTAATTTATATTTTGTTTGCTCATTACCGTAGGTAGGGAAGTATTGTATTCGTGCGAAAGGTTGAAAAATATTTTGTGCTAGTTTTACGTTTTATATATCAAGAATCAATTTTGGTTCGGTAGTCTTTCGTGCTAAAAACTGTAGTCTGTAGTCTTTCCTAGCTTACAGTATGCAGGTCCGATTTATATGGAAGTACGCCTAGTCGTCCCTTATACTACATTATTCCCTTATCGTCCCTAAAATTCTGATGATCAAAGTCCACCCCTTCAACTTTCTTTGTATTATAGGAGACATTTAGGGGATATAGAGGGCCCTCCATCATTCCCAAAACTCCCCTTAATCCCCTGACTCACTACAACTTATATTTAACTGAATGTAAAAATGTAATTATCATGTTATTATTATTATTTTTGCTTTTATTGTACTTCTACCTAAATAATATCTAGTGAAATGAAACTTCTTGGTTCAAACTATTCTCTGAGTATTTAAAAGGTAGCTTAAAAGCTAAAAAAGAAAAATTTTATTGAGAACGTTATTTTTTCCATTCCATTTCAAATAAATAGTTTGATATTAGCCAGATAATGATATATAACTGCTTCTTCTTTTCTTAAACATCGGTGCGAAGACGTGTTAAAATATTGATTAAACATCGAGTAAGTAAAGGAGGTAACTGTACTGTTTAAATACATAATGAACTATTTTTTATCTCTTTTTTTTTTTAAATATTCTTATTATATAGATGAGTGATATAAATAAAAAAAAATTTGTGAATGAGATTGAATGATTGAGAGACAAAAAACATTGAGTTACAGTTCCTCACATCTCTTCTTCTTGAAAAAGAGAAAAAAGTTTTTACTAAACAAATGAGATTTGCTAAAAATGAATGCCTTTG